ATATAATGTGTATTTTATTAAAAATTCATAAACTTTTATATAATCTAAAAATCTTCAATTTTACTATAAATTACTAAATAAAATTTATAAAATCTGGTAATTTATAGTAGGGCAGTGTATGATATCTTACGTAAGGTGAAAGATTAGACTTTATAGTAAACTGATATTACATAATAAATGTCATGACCTTTACTTAAAAGTTTGCCTGAGAAGGAAAAAAGTTGATATAATATAAACATCTCAACTTTAAATAAAGTAATATTTTAAAATAAAACATAATCTTTTATATTTAACAGATATAGTATATTATTATTTTTCTGTGATATATATACATTATATTTTAAATAATATTTAAATAAACCTAACCAAAGTTTTATTATAAATGAATATAAAAAAACATTAATAAAACTTGTTTTGAAATATAATATGTAAATATTTATCAGTAATTAGTTATATGATTATTAACTTGTTATATGAAGGTTAAAAATAGGATAAATTTAATAATTAAAAATAATTCATAAAATAACGCTTAAATTATGATGAAGATAATTATGATGTATATATGTTAATGACATAATCAAAATTAGGTTCAAAAATTTAGAATGAAAAATTTTAAAATTATATGGTTTATTTAAAAAAATTTGAATACTTATATATTTTTAAAATTCATTAATAGTAGACTTTATTCTATTTGCTATGATGATGACATTGTTTATTGAATGATATACATTTTACTTTTTGATTTTACTAACTTTATCAGAAAAAAATTTTGAATTAATTAATGGCAAAAGTTGATTTACCAGTTTTTTTTAACTAGTTCTTTTGAGATTTCCTTAGATTTTTGCATATTCCTATTTAATCTCAGTTAGCTTAAAGTAAGAGTAATTTTATGGTACTATTTATAAAAATATATAGTCTTTTACTTCATTCTGAACTAATAAAGGACTAAAATTCATGATAATATGTAGCAGAAATGTAAAATTTGCATTTATCACAAAATTTTTGATATTTTTAATAATTATTATAATAATTTATTAATTTATAATATTTTTTTATTTTTAATTATCTTAGTAGATTTTTAAATAAAAAATAAGATTTTTTTACTTATGAAATGTAAATAATAATTTATTTAATAAAACTTTTTAAAAGATTAGATTTATTTTATTATTTAAGCTTCTTTATGAAATTAATTTAATAAATTTTCACTTTTAAAATATAAAAAAATTTAATCTTAATATTTAAAATAAAGTTGTAAATAATCTTATTAATTTTAAATGTAAGATAATTTATTATGATAATGTTTTTTAAATCTTAGAAATATTTAAAAACACGTTATTTTTATTTAGAAAGTTAGGATCTTTAATTAAATATAAAAATAAATCCTTAGTTTTAAAAAATTAAAAACTAGGGAACGGTTTCGGAAACCATTGTTAAGTCCGGAACACAAGTGTTAACGAAAGGGACCAACCACGTATCGACGATCGGGCAGACAAACAGACACCGGGCGCAGACATATAGTCCTTCGCTTACGTTCCCGGACTAATTATTAAAGAAATTAAAACTAAATTAGTATTTTTTGATAATTTCTATAATTACTATATAAAGCATAGGAATTGAATAATATTATAGAATCTAATATTATTAAAAGGGTTGTTTATCATACAATATATATATATTGAAGCGTGATTCTATGATTTTGACAACACTTTTTTTTAAGTACCATAAATTATAAATTGTAAATCTGAATGCTCATGTATTAATTGTTGATTTAATGTTGCACCTAATAATGTTTTGTATTACTCTCATCGGAGATTTGTACCCCCATACGACGCGGAAATTTTTTGTACATACATACTTTTCTTTCATTCATTATCGACAAGGACACTTTTATGGAAAGAATTGAATGATAGATAATACAGGAGTAAAGTGAACCTTTGTCGTTACTGTAAACCTCATTTGCTCACTGTTTGTTTTATTCATTCATGTCACGTAAATCATTACAACAAAAGACAAAGATTTTTTTTAGAAAATGAAACTTCGGCTTTTCGGATATGTTGAAATTTCCTTATAAAAGGAAAATAATTTTGTGAATCTTTTCTTAACCTTTTTTTTTTAATCTTATATAAATTCATTTTCGAGAAAGGAAACTTTTTTCCCGAAAAAGCATTAGGCGCAGAAATTCATCATAAAAAAAAAATTTTTTTTTCCTATTTCCTAAATCTCATTGTAAAAATCACATAATCGGAAAATCTATTCATTACCATTAAAAGTAGATTACCGTTTAGTTCAAACAATAAATTAATCACAAATATTTTTTTAGAAACTCTTTTTCACATAAGCATCATTCGTTCCCTCTTTTTTTTTTTAAAAAAAAAAAATTTCCTTCATTCTGATATAAACAATCTCATTCTGATTACTGAATAAATTCACGTCACAGTGAAACTTACTTTCATTTTTTTTCCTTATAGTTATAGTGAACGCTTAATAAAATCTTACAGTGAAGAAAAAAAATATATAATTAAAATAAAAAAATAGAAAATACATAGTATTCACTACAACTATGCAAAATAGCGAGCAACGACTATAGCAAAAGATTATCTCCTTTATTTCTCGGGGATCTCCTTACAGAACTAATCTTAACACACCGATTGGTCCTTTTGTTTATATTCAAACATCTCTTACACGACACATTCATTGCGGAATAACTTTTTTTTTTCATCGTGGAACCATTTCATTAATATGAGCGAAAGCATATCATTAATAACTTCATTATTATTACCTTTATTAATTTCAGTCAAGAAACGAATGAATCGATTTAAATCAAATAATTATAATCTCTCAACGAATCCTCCTCGAGTGAAATCATTTCCTATAAGTTGCAGTATGATTACTGAAAATGTAGTATCAACATTACAATTTTCATTCGCAATAACACAGGCGTTATTCTTTATGCTAATATCAAGTATATGTACTTTATACCATGTGATAATATTAAATTACGATCTCTATTACACGTTAACATTTTACTTCATTTATGCCACTCTTTTACATAAGAAGGGTAAACGTGTCACTTTTCATTCACATGATGAATTTATCCTTCCAAATTCAATGAATGTCATTATGGGGGAGGAAGACGAGATTGAGAACAAGACGAAACGATCGAAGGAGAGGAAGGAAAGTGGTAATAACCATAAGCAAATAAGAACCGATTCTCCTTCTAATACTGTGGTGGTACAACACTATCCTATTTCGAAGAGAAAAAGAAAGATTGTGGATCTTACTATTGATACTTCAAGAAAAATATCAAAATCGAGCAGCGAGAAACATTCCGTTATCAACAATTTAAAACGTTATTCTACCCCTATCATTAATAACACTAATGATGAACAACGTTGTTATACGTCTTTATCCACCCCAACAACCACTTCACATTCTTTGTATGATGTTGATTCAACATTTAATAAATCGAAGGCTGACACTCGTTCACATGAACACAATGCGACTGACGATAATCTTCAAGATACTACCACTCCATCAGGTGTGAGGAGACATACTTGGATAACATTTATTCGAAAAAATGACATTCAAAATTCTTCAACCTCGAATCAAAATAAGCGAAATAGCTTAGGAATTTGGGAAAAGGTCAAGGGAAATATTAATAATGGGTCATCGAGAAAAAATAATGATATGAATAGCAATATCTCAGCAATCATTAAGCAGGAAAGATCAAGATCGAAATTAAAAAAACATAAAGGATTGGATCCTTCTCCGATAAGTCGGTTTTCCCCTTCAAAACACTCCTCTTCTAAAAATTTCGATAAAATTACAACTTTACTTCATAATGAGCAAATTCCGCCTATACCTATTTCCCCCACCTCCACGCTCGTTAACGTATCAATTGATCACGATGTTTTAAATGATAATATTAAAGTTCGGGTAAAAAAAAGAAATTCTTTAAAAGGTTTTCTTAAGGAATTTACTAATAGAAGGAAAAGATGTGATGATAAAAATTCGAAAAAGAAATAATAATTCAATAATATACTTGGAAAGGATCGCTTTGTACATATTTCAATATTAAAGAGAGTTTTTTTTATTTTCATTTATGCATGTGCACATGATGTTGTATTCCTTTTTCTTCCTAAATTAAAAATGTAACATTTTACCTTCGGGTTTATAAAAGTAATGCTCAATAATAATGAGTTCCTGTACTAACTAAATTTGTAATAGTGTGACCAGAAATGGTGATATATAAATCATATATAAATAGTTTAAACTCATCCTAACACAATTTTTTTTCTCGTATCCTTAAAATGACATCATTGAAAGAATGGATTGATGCAAAGATAAACTATGGTGACATTACTAAATTTGAATATAGTGAACTTAGTAATATTGTAGAAATAGGCAAAGGAGGATTCGGCGTTGTGCATAGAGCGGATTTGGATAACAGGGGCATTCAAGTCGCATTGAAAAGCTTCTCGAATAAAAATAGAAAAATCGATAAGGATGACGTTGCAGATCTTGTCAAAGAAGTATGAGCTTCTTTCTTTTATAAAAATTCTGATATTTGTACGGTATAAAAAAAAACCCATCAAATTTATTGTTTTACCCTTTTTTTTAGTTAAAACTTCTTCGTATCGTTCATTATCATCCAAATATCAATAACTTTATTGGAATAACGAATGGTTCGTGTAAAGTTTCCTATATTATTTCTAATTAAATTTAACTTTTTAAATCCAATTAATATAATTTCCTTTTGTTTAAAATGAATAGATTCTGATGACAATTATATTATGGTATTGGAATATGCCAATGGGGGAAATTTAAGAGATTTTTTAGGAAACAAAAAAAATTTTAATTCATTACAATGGAAAGACAAGATCAAAATGGCATTGGATATTACTTCTGGATTGATGTGTTTACATAAGGATAACATAATCCATAGAGATTTGGTAAATTCCGTATTTAATTTTATTATCATATTATTATAAACTATTAATCTTATAAATATCAATTTTTAAAAGCATTCAAAAAATATATTAGTTCATAATAATAGATTGATGATCGCGGACCTTGGATTGTCTAAAAAGATTAGTGAGGTTACATCAATTGCTAGTTCAAAACCTGAATATGGGATGCCAGGATATATTGATCCGCAATGTTATTGTCCACAAGGAAATTATGTTAGAAACAAGAAATCAGATATATATAGTTTAGGCGTTCTATTATGGGAGATCACAAGTGGACGTTCCCCGTTTTCGAACATTGATAAGTACGCATTGATGTATCAACTTTTTCATTCTAAGCTGAGAGAAACCCCAGTAGAAAATACACCTCTAAAGTATCAAATACTTTATCAAAAATGCTGGAGTCATGATCCAATGTTAAGGCCTGACATTAATGAAGTTTATACTAAATTAAAACAGCTGGATGCACAATTCAATAACGTTAAATCAGATGATGATATCATCAACGAGGAAAGAGAATTATGTAGTGCATTAATGGAGATTCGTAAATCTTATATGATTTACAATGATACCGGTCCCACGAAATCTCTTGACTTTGATCGTGTTATAGATTATCATAGGCCAAGGTCAGAAGCAATTTTCGATTATCTCATTAACGATCCAACAATTGAGCATTATGACGTAGTGATTGGAATTTTTCATTACCATTATTTTGAGTTTGAAAAACATGAAAAATACTATCAATGGGTTAAGAAAGCGAGTGATAATGGTGATATTTATGGTCATTATGAACTTGGACGCTGTTATTATCACGGTTATGGTATCGAAAGTGATAAGAATAAAGCAATGGAGCTTTTTGAACGTTCTGGATTAAATATAGCTTTATATAGTCTTGCAGATCATCATAATCAATGTGGCAATTTACAAGAAGCATTTGAACTATATATTATGTCTGCTGAAAGGGGATACGTAACATCACAACATATTGTGGGTGAATGTTATTACTCTGGTAGAGGTCCTCAAAAAGACAAAGAAATTGCCCTTAAATGGCATACAAAATATCGAGATGGCGGTGGGATCAATGATGTTGGAACAAGGATTAAAGATTTAGATGATTATTTAAATACGAAAACTTTAGCAATAAGTCTTTTTAATTTTCTAAAAAAAAATTTAACCTGAATTTTGGTTTTCATTAAAACATTTAAAACATTGATTGAGCATCATTATTTATTTAAATAAATAAATTAAAATTTTTTTTTCCCGAATGTATCAATGCGGTATCGACAAAAATGCCGGTATAACGAATTAAGGAAATGCATTGTTTCGGTATAATTTCAATAACAATTGAAATATAATATTAATAAAATATAAGCATATATGATACATATTATTAATTGTATAAAACTACCTATAGTAATTTTGTTTTAATAAAAATATCTAATGAATTACTTATGAAGGTCTTTCATTTGAACTGTTTCCAATTCATTATTGATTATTTGATTATAAGCATTTTATTTTTTTTTAAAGTCATTTCATTGCAAACATTCTTGATTTTCTTTATTTATAAAAAATAATTTGAAATTATATAATATAAATATATACTATTATAGCAAAAATCAGTATATTGAGATTTGAAATGTATAAGAATTTTTATATTATTATTAATATATTTTAATAATATTAAAAAATATTATTATTACTTATTAATTTAATATTATATTACTTTTATATGAATATTATAACTTTCTTTTTAAATTTTTTATATAGTAATTTAATTATAATAAAATCTAAAAATTATTGATAAAAAAAATATAAGTATATAAATTTTTTTTAAAAAAAAAATTTATAAAATATATTTTAAAAATATACTTATTAATAAATTTTTATAATCAAAAATCAATATAAAATAATAATTATTTATAATAACTTTTAAATATCTTAATATAAATAAAATAAGATTAAATAAGATTAATAAACATTTTAAATTCTATTTAAAAAAAATATTTATTAAAAATTTATAAATAAATTAAGAATATTATATATAATGATTTATTTATTTAAATAATCATATAAAGCTAATAAGTAATCTGTTAACCTATATTAAAGAAATATATTTGATAAAAATTTTTAACAAAATATAACGTGTTAAATTACCGTTTAATTAATATTAGATTTAATGTAAAATCAGTAATAATTATTGATATTGAATTATTGATTAATAATAATAAATCATATAACTAAATTACATAAATATCTGAATAAATGATTATATTATATTAATCTGATAATATAGTTAAAGCTTGTTATAGTGAACATTCAATTCTATTCAATTTTATTTACTATAATAAATATTTACAAAATGAGAAATTTCTTTATAATGAATTTTATATAAATAAAAAATTTATTATAACTAAAGATGATCATCGCAATTAAAAAAAATGACATAATTGAGTTGCAACTTGTGACGCAATTAAATTTTCTTATGGCGCAATTAAGTTGCAACTCAATTGAAATTTGAAAATAATTATGAGGATCATCTTTAATTATAATGTAAATTTTTTAAATTTTATTATTATTTTAAATATTTAATATTACATAAAACTATATAATATAGTTTATTTTACATTTTCTTGTTAATTTTTGATTTTAAAGCATTAAGAATTTTAATTTTTAATTAATTAAAATATTATCAGGCAGATTTCTAAAATACTGAACTATTTTCTTTAAACTACTTAAAATTTCTTTATTAGAAATACTAATATTTATCTCTGATTTATCATCATCTTTTATATCATCTTCTTTCTTTAGATCTTGAAATTATTTCAGCAATAATTTCTTTATCAGATAATAGTTTTATTAGTATTTCATTATCAATATAGATAAATCTTTTAGCTGTAATAAGATCCTATAAATTTAATTTGTCAATTATTTCTCATAAATCTAAAATTATTCTATTAATTTTATTATTAATATCTTAATTCTAATTAGAATCATTTTTTTAAGAATTATTTCTTTCAAAATCAAGTAAAATACCTGTTTTTTCTAATAATATTAATTTTATAATCATCTATATTTCACTAATAAATATTATAATATCAAGAATATCAACTAATATTATATTATTAGAACTGCTTTTCTGAATCAAAGTATATTTTACTCTATTTACAATTAATAATTTTCTATATTAAGTTTAAAATTATAAATATAAATAAATATTTAAAAAATATTAAAATTATAAGCGATAAAATATTAATAAAAAAAATTCAATAATTATTTTTTACTTTAAAGTTGTTAATAATACTGATATTTAATAGTTATAAATAAGTAGTTGTATTAAAAGAAAAATAATATATTAATATTTGATAATTAAATAGTTTTATTTAATAAATATATAGTAATTTCTATAATTATTATATTATTTCATTATAATTTTAGATTGTAATAAATTAAAATTTAATGATTAAATAATTTGCAAATTTAATTAATGTATTTTTTAAGGTTTCTTTTATAATATATTTAAATTTAAATTTCTTTTTATTTATAATTATAAAAAAAATAATCATAAATTTTATGATACATTATTTTTGATATATATAATAAATAAATCAAAACATAAATTTTTCAAATTTTTTTTAACAAACTATATTTTAATTTTTTTTTACAAAACTATTATTATCTTATATTAGCTTTAAGTACATCTTTAACTTGTTATAATATAGTATTAATTAGTTTTAAATAAAAATCAACATTAATTTAATTTTATACCAATTGTATCTTATTTCACAAATCTTCTATACTAGTAATATTATCAGAAAACTGTCACAAATGATGATTAATTTATTCTATAAATGTTTAATAGGGTTTAAGTCTAGTGATTATATTGGCTAATCTAAAATTTCAATATTATTGTTATTAAACTACTAGTATATTTTCTTTGCTATATATTTTGGATTATTACCTTATTAGAAAATGATATTATTTACATTCAAATTATATGCATTAAGAATCTCTAAAAGCTCATCTCCCAAAATTTTTCTATAGCTTTCCATCTGTTCTTTCATCAATTTTACATATTAAATGAACTTATATAACCCATATTATTATATAACCTCTACCAAACTTTACAGTTAGTTTAATATGCTATAGTTACAAAGGTAAATTTGAATCTTTTTAACATTACTCTCTTTCATTTAAGTTAAAATTAAGAATTTATTCTCATCTAATTACACTACTTTTCATCAATCTTCTATAGTATTTTTTTTATATTTTTGAGTAAATTTTTTTCAGACTTTTCTATACCTCTTTAAAAATAATGATTTTTTAACTCTAGTTATAAAACCTTACCTTTTTAATGAATATTGAATAATATTTAGTAAAATAACAATATTTTTATTAAAAATTAAAGATTTTTGAATTTGAATAGCATTTGTATATTTACTTAACTTAATGAATCTGAAGATATTTCTTCATAATATTCTATAAGTATTTTTAAGTAGCTTGATTTTAAAATAATATCAAAATTGCCTATTTTTTCTTTTCTTTGTTTAATTCTTATGATTTATATTTTTATAAAATGTAATTGTATAATTTAGTAAACCTTTTTAGATAAAAAAAAAATATATTTTCTTTGGTGAAGTAAAATCACCTTCATAATATATTTAAAAAAAAATAAAAGAAAAGCATATATGAGCTCTTTGCAATAGAAAGGGAGGAAATTACCAAATAAATTTTTTTTGAGTTAATGTTAAATCTGGACTTATTTATTAAAAAAATAATATTTAGCTCATAAAGTAAAAAAAAAATATTTTTAGTAATTTCCTCCCTTTCTATTGCAAAAAGCCTATATATTAATCTACTAATTTAAATTTATTTATATATATAAGATATATTATATAATTATAACTTTATTATATTAATTTTAATTGTCAATTTGTATTACATTACAAAAAATTTGTATATAAAGAAAATTTTTTAAAATTCACAAATTAAGTAACACTTAAATTTAAATACAATATATTAAAAATCTAATTATAAGCTTTAACTTAAATTAAAATTTTAGTTATATAGTTACTTTAATTATTCAGATATTATGATCTAAAAATTATAAATAAAGTGATACAATAATTATAAAAGTCACTATATAAATACATTATTTGCCAATAATAATATTTTACAATTTTACCATCTTATTAATTAATTAAGATTATTTAAATAATTATATTATACTGATATTTACATTTATATAGTATAAATCTAAAAGTATCAAATAGATAAATCATTTTTTTTAATTTCTTTTATAACACATCGAGTTTGTCATTTATATATTAATAGTATAGGTAACTTATAACTCCTATTAGTATTACAAGTTAAAATAGTTATAATATGATTTTTTAATTTTTGTACCAAAAATATAGTAATTAAAGTATGTTGATAGTTTTAAATTCTAAAATAAAGCTAAATGTTAATAAGTTGTAATTTTTATTAATTTTAAACATTATAAAGATTATATATAGAAAAACTAGGGTTTAAAATGATTTTTAAATTTTGAGTAAATTCAAAAATATATTATATTACACAATTTTTGATTTATTTTTAGATAAGTATATAATAAAGATTACAAAATTTTATATATTAAAAATTATGCTTTGAAATAATATTATATTAATTATATTAAAATATTTTCTTGTATCTTAAATTTCTAAAAATTAACTTTAATTATTAAATTTAGAAAAATAATTAACATGATAGAATAATTTTACTTGAAATTTGATTATGTTAATATTTTTTATATATCTTTTTTACATTTTTGTTAAATATTATGTCTTTACCTTTTTATAATTTATTTGTTTTAGAATTAAAGAATATGTTAAATATAAAAATATAATAATATAATAAAAAAATTGATAAAATTTAACATTTTTTAATAATAATCAATAAAATTGTAAAAAATCTAAATAATAAAAATATAGATTTATTTCAAAAAATTAGGCTTAAATAGTTTTTATAAGATATTAAATTTAGTAAATTAGATAAATAATAATTAAACTTTACTCTTAAAGGTCAATTAATAGTATTTACTTAATTATAATAATAAACAAATTTCAGAAATTTCACAAAATAATTTTTAAAAAAAATGCATTAGAA